TCATATGATGTATTTGTTGATGTATGTGTTAGACAATTTTGCCCACTAATGTTACTGTTTTCTCTCTCATTCCAATGCCCTGACCACAAGTTTTTATTTAGAATCATAGAATCTTAGGATTAGCAGGGACCTCAAGAGGTCTTCTAGTCTGGTTCCCTGCATTCAAGGCAGGACTAAGTATTCTCTAGACCATCCCTGACAGGTGTTTGTCTAACCTGTTCTTAAAAACCTCCAATGATGGATACTCCACAACGTCCCTAGACAATTTATTCCATTACCTAACTACCCTGACAGTTACGAAGTTTTTCCTAATTGTCCAACCTAAACTGAACTTGCTGCAATTTAAGCCCATTGCTTCTTGTCCTATCCCCAGAGGTTAAAGAGAACAATGTTTCTCCCTCCTCCTTGTAACAACCTTTTATGCACTTGAAAACTGTTATGTCCCCCTGTCAAGGCTGATTCCCCACTCTGGCACTTCAAGTGCAGAAGGTGGGGGTCTGCAAGGACTCTAAAAATTAATACTGGCCATTCCCGGCTTGTATTAAACTCCCAAGGTTACCGCTTTTCTCTGACCTTGGATTGGTAGATGCTGCCACCCCACAAGTGCAAAACCCCTTTGGGAACCCAGGAAGGCGCACTTGGGAATTCCTTCCTGTGGGGTACCCTCAAGACCTGTCACCCCTCCACCGGGGAAGAGCTGAGAAGAAAAACGAAGGAAATCAGCTGTTGCCACCAGTTAATTAAACATGGGCACAAACCTCTTAGGGGACACAAATCCAATTCTGTTCTTAAAAAAGGTAAATTTTATTAATAAAAAAAAAAAGAAAATACATCTGGGACGTAGGCTTTTGCTAGATTAAAAAAAAATTTACAAGGATTAAGCATCAAGAATAGTTCTCTCTTGAGGTCCATCTTAAAGGTTACAAGCAAAACAAAAGCACCTGGGCTTAGCACAGAGGAATCCACAAGCCATAAAGAAATAAAAGGGATAAAACTAATCACGTGTTCCTAGATATTTCCTGATCTACTTACATATCTGGAGTTTTAGATGAGCAGTTTCTAGGTATGATACTGATAATTTTTCATACCTGGCCCAAGCTTCTCACAGCATAACTGCCCCCTTTCTGCTTCTCCCCGAGAACAACAGACAGACAAAAGAGGACTCTTTGTTTGAATTTTAAAAAGTTCTAGCCTTCCCATTGGCTCTTTTGGCCAGGTGCCCACTCACTTTTTTACCTATGCATAGCAGTGAGACTTTTTAACGCTTTACAGGTAGAGCAATTAGAGAACAGCTACTAAGAGGGATTTTATAGCTGCTGGCTGGGTGTTCATAAGAGGGAGCTGCCCCTCCCCCCCTTCATTTATCACACACACCCTCTTTCTTCTCTTCTCCAGACTAAACAAACCCAATTTTTTCAGTCTTCCCTCATAGGTCATGTTTTCTAGACCTTTTAATTGTTTTTGTTCCTCCCCCCAGACTTTCTCCAATTTGTCCATATCTTCCCTGAAATGTGGCACCCAGAACTGGACACAATACTCCAGTTGAGGCCTAATCAGCATGGCCTAAGCCAGTGGTCTCCAACCTTTTTACGCCCAAGATCACTTTTTGAATTTAAGGGCAATCCACGATCTGCCCCGCCCCACTCACTCCATCCCCCTCCCTCCGTCGCTCGCTCTCCCCCACCCTCACTCACTTTCACCGGGCTGAGGCAGGGGTTTGGGGTGCAGGAGGCGGTTCGGGGTGCTGGCTCTGGGAGGGGGATTGGGGTGTGGGCTTCCGCCTGGCGGCACTTACCTCTGGCGGCTCCCGGTAGACGGCACAGCGGGGCTTAGATAGGCTCCCTTCTTGCCCCAGCCCCATGCCACTCCTGGAAGGAGCCAACGCTCCTCTGCGGCCCCTGGGGGGGGGGTCATGTGGCTCCGTCCGCTGCCTCTCTACTGGCACCACCCCCACAGCTCCCATTGGCCACAGTTCCCTGTTCCCGGCCAATAGGAACTGCAGGGGTGCTTGCAGGCAGGAGCCGTGTGTGGAGACCCCTTCCCCCAGGGCCACGGGGGTGTGCTGGCTGCTTCTGGGAGCAGTGTGGGATCAGGGCACACAGGGAGCCTGCCTTAGCTTAGGCCAGTGGTCACCAACCAGTCGTTCGGGATCTACTGGTCGATCCTGGAGACTCTCCCAGTCGATCGTGGTTTCCGGTGGTGCAGCGGGGCTGCCGCTATCTACTATGGACTCTTCTGTAAAATATGTATTAAGTACCTGTTGCACTAATTGTGCTTCAAAAGTTTATTTTATGAAATGGGAACTCAGTGACTTAACCACTGATTAATAATAATGATCTGTAAGTATATTTTAAAAATACCACTTAAACTGAGAACTCATCAACTGTAAGTAATTCGCCATCTCCATGTTACTTATTATGTCGAATCTATTTCAGTAAAAATATGAAGTTTCATAACTCTTACCAATAATAACTTCAGGTTTTTGGGAGGTTTCATTATGGATAGCAGATAGAAAATGCAGAGGGGTCAGCATGGTCTAGTAGATAGGACTTTGGACAGAGACGTAAGAGACTCAAGTTCCATTCCTGGCTCTCCCGTTGGCCCGCTTGATTTTGAGAAAGTAACTTCACATCCCCATGCCTCATTTTCCCCCATATGTAAAACGGAGATAATGATACTTGCCTCCCCTTGCAAAGTACTTGAGGTCTACTGATGAAAACACTAAAGAGATGGGCATTAATATATTTTCAATGAAACCAAAGAAAAACTTTTTCCTTTGAAAATAATGCCTCTGACTTGAGTTGTTTGCAGGGCAGAGCCACTGTTGTATAATTAAATGGCTGCCTGATCATAGAACAGACACTAATACTTGGCCCGTGTTCAGCATGATACTTTATCACTTGCCTCACTTTCAGCGCAACTTGTCCTATTGAAATCAATGCACTGTTTAACCATGTCAAACTATCTGTCCACTTAGCTCTTCCCGAACTGGTTGAATCTGTAATGGGCATCAGTCCTCCAGATGTGGAGAGCAGATGGGAAGTGGGAGGAGGATATGACTTACAAAATATAATTTACGCTGAGGAGGACCCTGGTGATTGAAAAGGTCACTGTTGATGGTCGTTGCTTGCACTGTGTTTCAGGCCTGAGTCCTGAGAAGTAAAAATAAAGAACATGTGGGCCTAATTAAAGAACAAAGGAACTAGGGAGTGGAGGAGATGGAGGGGAACAAATCCAGAAAATAAGAAACAGTTGGACACCCTAATTATAGGCATCTGATTTTACTGGCATAATTAGAGACTGCAGAAGAACTAACCCCACAGCCATTTGGGGGGCGAGGCAAGGCAGTATATTAATTACACTTACAATAAAAGCACAAGTCTTTTTTTTTTTTTTGTGCTTTTATTTTAATTCTTTTTAATCATAGCTTCCCTGATATCAAAACCTATAGTAAAAGCTTCAGTTCAGCTTCCATTCTAACTCTCTATTTTCAATTGCTCATGAGTTCTTCAGTATTCTTCTGTTTGGGCTGAAATTTTCCATGTTTATTTTCGGTCCTAAGTTGCATTTCCTTTTGGGAAGGCTTTGGGAAATCAATTCAACTATTTGAGTTAGGTGAGCAGGGAAAATATATTTTTCCTATTCTGAAAAATATTTATTTTGTCATGGGTAACTTCATCAGTTGTACTTCTCGTGTATCTAGAAAAGTAACTTTTTTGTAACTTAAGAAACTTTGAATTTTTCTCTCTCTCAAAAAAAGCTACAAGCAATTACAAAATGGTTACACATTGTCAGTAAACAGATTTTATTATGTCTTGGTTTAATTGTTTGCAGCACTATAGAGTTGTAAGGGAGGCTTTTAATTTGTGTAGTTAAAAATGGTTCTTCCCTTAATTTTTAAAGGTTAATTAGATACAAAAAATTTATCCAGAGATCTGCTACATTTGTGGGCTGGCCCTGAGGCCTTTACCACAGAGTTAAAAACCCTGGATCTTTCTAGGGTGATAAAGGATATCTCCCCCGCCCCACCCCACCCAATGAAAGCCGTGGGGGAGTTTTTCTTCCCAAAGCCTCTTCTCACAAACTCTTTCACAAGAAAGGATGATCTGATTTGAAGGATGCATTGTTCTTTTCACTATACTAAATGGGATTTTTTGTCACCAAAACTAAATTGCTGCTGGTAATGAACTGATGTGAAACCTGAAAATTTACAGAAGTGAACTAGTAGCAAAAGTCTTGATTTTGTTTGCCACTGAAAACTTGAAGGAAACATTAATACTAGAGGAGGTATTAAAGAAAACAAGAAATAGGAAGTATCTGCAGAAAAGAGAATAAAAGTGTCAGGCAGAATGAGTGGGATGAGTGGACCGTTAACACTGTCCTTACACCTCTGGAAAACTGGATTGAAAGGTGGTATGTCACACATGAAAATGTATTTAGTGATTATCCAAGTCCATAGTAGTTGTCTGTCTAATATTCAGCAATTAAACAGTACAAGGATGGGGCTTGTAGGCAGGGCCGGCGCAACCCATTAGGCAACCTAGGTGGTCGCCTAGGGCGCTACAATTTGGGGGGCGGCAACCGCGGCAGTATTTCGGCGGCGGGACCTTCCGTTGCCTCTGTGGGGGGTGGCATTTCGGGGCGGGACCTTCTGCCGCCTAGGGCGGCAGAAAAGCTGGCGGCGCTTCTGCTTGTAGGCAATCCTAAAATATCCTTTGATTATAGAACTTTGAGATCCCATGAACTTTCACAAACAGGTGCTAAATAGAATCAAATTCTATTCTGTTGTTAAAAGTTGTAGCTTAAAGCTAAGTATAAATTGTCAGTGGAATGTATGTTAAAACATATGAAAAAATATAATAAAATGTGATAGTCAGTTACTGGGGCTTGAATTGGGGGTTCTTTGTTTCACTTTTATCAGACGATAATATAAACAGCAAGTTGAAAGACCTATTAATGGTTTTAAGGTTTTTCCCTCTTTATTTTTCTTATAATTACAGGCGAAACCTTACAAAGCTGTCCCTGATCTTCAGCCACATGCTGGCAGAAATCAAAGCAATATTTCCTAATGGCCAATTCCAGGGTGACAACTTCCGTATCACAAAAGCAGATGCTGCAGAATTCTGGAGAAAATTTTTTGGAGACAAGTAAGTATTGCTGGTTAGAAGGATTGTGAATTCTGCCTTATAACATGCATACAGAGAAGTACTGTTTTAAAGAATGCAAATAGAATAGATATAATTTTTTTTTGCCAGAGATGCCATAATGATGATTTTGTGTTTAATTTCTTTATGGTTATTAGTTTCAAGATTAAAGGTTGGGTGCATTAGTTCTGCTTCTGTAGGTAAAATACACAGAAAGAAAAATGAACTATGGGTGGCATGAAGAGAAAATTAGGAAGAAAGTTTTGTTTTTCTTTTAGTCTTTAAAATTGTGTTGCTGTAGAGGGTGCAAAACCTATGATCCAATTTTTTTTCATTTTCTTAAAATTAATATGAATTTTGATCCTTTTCTCCAAATCCCATAAACAAGTCCTGTCTGCGTTTCACTTTCCTGGTGGTTTCCATTTCTAGTTTATCCTTCCATGTGTTAAGCAAAATCTTAAATTTGGAAAGTAACGTAGGCTAAAACCAAATTTTCAAGCAAGATAGGAATATAAATTTTTTTTCTTGTTAATCTCTGTAGGCAAGAGAGAGTGGAGAATCTAGGGTGACCAGCAGAAGATGCAGGTGCTGCTGTCATGTGCTAAGTTGCATACTACTTAAGTTGTTTTGAAAATACTGGCCTATACTTATGCTTTATAGTACCATGTTACAGAAATTACAGTACTCTCCTCTAATCTCAGACTAAAACCACTACTTGTCTCAAAATCCTCTTCTGCTAACCAGTGTAACATTAGAGGCCCCATAGTGAAAACAATACCACATTTACTCCTGTCCATAATCCCTTTCATTTCAGTTTAAAGAATTATTTTCACTTAAACATTGACACAGTATGTTAAATTATTTCATCATTCTTTTACATCTGAGAAATTAAATTTGAAGGTGAATATGAATACTTTGGTTCTGATCCTGCAAACACCTACTGCTAAATGTGTCAAAATGAGAGAAGATACACAGGTGGAGGTGAGATGATTTAGGCCCTTGAAGGTGAGGGTGAGACGCTGCTGTCTCATCACTCCAGAAATATTTTCTATCCTTCTAGTAAACTAAAGGGCACTTGCTCCAAACCGTCAGAAAAAGATAGTTTCACCTTAATTAGATACTGGCACTCCAAAGATTATGTCTAAACCATATAATTTAAGTTAAGTGATACTCTTGGAGTAGAATAAATACAGTTAATCATTTTTGATGGGCCATTGCGTCTAGGGTGAATTTTAAGATATGTTGGTGGGGAAAAAACACAATGCATCGTATAATGTATATTGTTCTTGCCTACATGTCCAGCTACAAGAGAATTACCATAGACTGAATTAGGAACTTTAACTGAATCTGATGTTCCCTCCCCATATTGTTACATTTTCAGTGAACAAATTTACGGCCTAACGCATACTCTTAGATTAGTAATGTTTGACTATATTTGTCAGGGCCGGCTCTGGCTTTTCCGCCGCCCCAGGCGGCCGGGGGGAGGGCGGCCAGAGCGCCGGGGGGGACTCGGCTCTCCCCCGCGGCAGCCAGAGCGCCGGGGGCAGGGCGGCCGGAGCCCTGGGGGGAGGGCGGCGAGCCCCGACTGGGGCTCGGCTCTCCCCCCCCCGGCGGCCAGAGCGCCGCGCCGCCGCCCCCCTCCAGGTGCCGCCCCAAGCACCAGCTTGGGTGCTTGGTGCCTGGAGCCGGCCCTGATATTTGTGTGCTACTTTACAAATATGTTAAGATGGAGTCCCTGCACTGAGGATCTTAGAGTCCAATTCTGATATGACAGGTGGAATAACAGTTAAAGTGCAGGAATAGATGGAAATCAAACATCTGTGTAGATGAGTTCTGGGAGGCTTAATGAAAGAAGCGAGTTTTTAGAAGAATATGCTGTACAAGAAGGAGGGGGTTGTGAGCACACAGGATTGTTTAAAAAACTGGCCACTAAATAGAACACGTCAAACACAAGTTGTAACTTTATTTTTTAAATACTTTATGGGCTTTACACAGACTGTAGATGAATATGTGATACACAGTCTTGTCACGCCTTCATTATCAGTATTTATCATTGCAAAACACTTATAGTGGCAGGAACAGAAAAAGAGGTTGGCGAGATTCATAGATTTTTAAGGTCACAAGGGACCATTATGATCATCTAGTTTGACTTCCTGCATAACACAGGCCATAGCATTTCACCAAACAGTTCCTGAGTCAAGCCTCTAACTTCTACTTGAGCTAGAGCATGTCTTTTAGAAAGACACCCAGTCTTGATTTAAGAGACTTCAAAGGATGGGTAGTCCGCTATGGCTGTAGGTAATGGTTCTAGTGTTTAATTACACTTGCTGTTAAATTGCCCTTATTTCTCATCTGACTTTTGTCTAGTTTCAGCTTCCAGCCAGTGGATCTTATTAGACCTTTGCCTGCTAAAATAGTCTTCTACAGGGCTGGCTCTGGCTTTTTTGCCGGGGGGGAGGGCGGCCAGAGCGCCCGGGGGAGGGCGGCGAGCCCGGCTGTGGCCCCGCTCTCCCCGGCGGCCGGAGCGCCGCGCCGCCCCCCTCCAGGTGCCGCCCCAAGCACCAGCTTGGTTGCCTGGTGCCTGGAGCCGGCCCTGGTCTTCTATTTCAAATCGTCTCCCCATATAAGTACTTATAGACCCTGATCAAGCCACCTCTTAATCCTCTCTTTGTTAAGAGAGGTGAACCTGAGCATGTTTTATGCTGCCATTGGCCCTGCTCAAAAGATCTTTCAAAACATCATCAAGGGTCAGAAAAAAAATGTATTTTTTTAAGGATTTTTATTTTCAAAGGCTCAAGGCATGTTACTTAAAACTTCTTGTGATAGAGCACCCCCTTTTTTAAAAAAAAAGTCAATTAAAAAACACCAAGTGGTAAATATCAAGTTTTAAAATGCCTGTACATCTTCTACTTTTCATTTGGTGTGTCCTTCTTTTCTTAATTATCTTTAGAGTTTGATCCTTGATCTCTTCCCCTTTTTCGCGCTATCCTTCACCTGCTGTCCTGGCTGCAACTTCCATTTCTTTGCTGAATACTTGCAGATCACAACCATAAATCTAAATCCAAATCTAACTCCACCCTTGCCTTGTTCATTTCCTTCTGACCCCTCCTCTTTCTCTGCTTTTCCTGAGCCACCTGACTTAGTGCCTCTCTTCTCCTTCTTGACTCTTGTCTTCATGCCTCTTTTTGTGCCACACTTTACTGGTGATCCTAATTTCTCTAGTTAAAAAAACAAAAACACAAAACCTTTCCAGGTGGATTCTAATTTAGACTGTAAATTCCTTGGAGCTGGGACCATGTGTGTTATGTTTTGCATGGTGCCAAGCATAGACAGATCTCAATAAATAGCTGCTATTGTTAGTAGGCTGACTTTTTAAGAAACTGCTACTCGCCCATGGTTAACAACCTCACTTCTCTGTAGTAAACAGTTAATCTGCACTCAGTGTCCTTGGCATTCGCCCAGGTTTAGTTAATTGTGTTTAAGTAACTGTAAAGCATGTAACAGCATGAATGTTGAATACATAGATGAGTAAAAGTTATTGTCTTGCATTACCATTTAATCTCTTTATGAAATGAAATGCCTGAAACCTTGTAGGCATGAATTGTCTTTTAATTCATTGAGTAACACACGGTGATATGCCTTTGGGGGTCACATCCTTTTAAAGTGGGCGTGTTATGACAAATTGGTCTGCAAATACTTAAATATCCCTTTCCTAAACATAGTGCATACTTCAAGTTTTAGGGTGTTGCACGCGATGTAATAAATGATAAAATCTCCAGTGTTCATACTGGTAAATATGTTCAATATTTAATTCATTGCTCAAACACAGACAGTATTTTCAAACCCGCATGCCAAAGTTTGGCCCCTTAGACCTAAATTTAGGTCCTAATTCTGCAACTGTCTCCCTGCTGTCAGATTCCTGTGTCAATGTTGAACCCCACTGAAGTGAATGGGGATCTGCAGGTGATCAAAGGTCTACCTCTGGAGAACAAATGACAGGATTGGGGCCTTAGAGACTTAAATAAAAGTGATAGGATTTTTCAGGATTGCTGGCCACCCAAAAATCCCATTGAAGTCAGTGGGAGCCGCAGGACCTATGCAGCTGCAGGACCCCAAAAAACAGCCCACATATTTAGGTTTCCAAATACAGATTTAGAAGCCTAACTTTAGGCACCTAGATCTGAACATTTTGGCCCATATAACCAACTTCAGTGAGGTGCCCTTCAGAACTATTACAGACATATGCATTGTAAGCATATTAGTATGTTGCTTCAACATAGATACAGCTGCCTTGATGGATACTGGTTCATTGACCTCCTGTGTCCAGTTCCTTTTGCATCAGCACTTTTAAAGAGGGCACATTGCGAGTGAGATTCTAATTGCAGAGGGAAAAACTCCAATAACTTCTTGAACAAAAATCTTATTTTTTTGTTTAAACAAATTAAAATTTAGGAAAACGGCACTATTCAGGGCAGCACATATGCACATGCTTCATGGTAAGCATCTATTTAATTGCCTTCCTGGATTAGGGCTGTCAGATACATACAGTACGAGGATTCTGGTATGTGCGTAATTCATAGAACGCCTTATCCAGAGATCTTTTACTCATTTTTACTTAGCCCTTATTCTGAGGACAATGGGAGTTGGCTCAGGTAAACACTAAGTAAATTACCTTGAGATTTGGCTCCTAGAGAAATAATAGGCAGTTAAAATGAGAAACATGGAAATAATTGTTTGTTTTGTGTCACCTGAGCAGAGAGATGGAATTATTTCTTTGTTTATAGCTGATCGTGTTTGTTTTTTTCAGAGAAACTAGAAAATGTTTATATTTGTATTCTGAAAAATCCTATTGGAAACCATCCCACAATCCCCTTTCCACCTTATTTTGTTGCTGGAAGCACATCAGGTTTTTTTTTTTTTCTGACTTAATTTGAAATATCATAAATGAAGCTTTAACAAAAGTCATGATTCATTATGTCCTAGGCCTGCTCTTTAGATTATTG